CTGAGCAGCCTGGCAGGCCATCGGCAAGGGGAAGTGTTAAGTGAGACTCACCACCTTGGCCAGATAAGCTTAGGAGAAGCTTGGAGAGCCCACCTCCCTGAAGAGCACTATAAAGAGTCAGCAACGTTTCACGGAGGATTTGGCTCAAAAAAGAAATTGGCTGCTTCCGGGCATTATGCTTCGGTAGAGAAGCCAGTGTGGGGTGGCCAGGCCCAGCAGGGGCTTCCAAAGCAAGATGGATGGAGCCACACACCAAATGGGCATTTTAGCCACAAGATAAACATACACTTCCCTGGATGTCCATGGCTCCTGGAAAATCGCCCTCATGAGACCCTTGTCCAACATTGCTTTGTGCCTCAGCGGTATAGAATCCTGGGCTCAAACACAAGCAAGGCTTTCCCTTTATTAAGCCTTTTTCCTCTTAGATGCCTTCCACTAATTCACTGTTCACTCATGTTTCTTGCTAAAGGGAGCAAAGTATATGATTAGAAGATGTTTTAGAGGTGCCACACCTGCCAAAAAAAAAAAAAAGATAAAAATAAAAATGAACACTACCTAGGCTCTACCATATATATAGACTATGAGACTAGCTATGAGTTACTTCCCAGTATCTTCACCTCAGTTTTTGTTTGTTTTGCTTTTTAGCAGATGAGCAGTGGCCTAAATTGGTTCTGAGCAGAGACCTGAGCTCAGGTGTCCTTCAGCATGCTGTGCCATCTTCAGAATTCCAAGGCAGACACAAGCAATGCAAATATCTATAGCCCTGGCCCAAAGTAGGCAGATAGTTCTTAAAATTTTAGTCCCTTTGGTAAAGTTATCCACAATAAAATCTACTCCTTTAGGTATAAAGTTATGGATTTAGATATATGCACACATCCATAAGGTACAGCATCCTTTTACTACCTCCTAACCAACTCCACCACCACAAGACACAGGGTACATACACTACCTGCCCCTCCTTGTAACTATACCCGACAAGACAGGGTACATCTACCACCTCCCAGATTCCTGCTGTTTATAATCAGCTCCCTCCCCTGCCTGACAACAAGTGATCTGCCTTCTAGTTCCATAATTTTTCTCTTCTCAGAAAATATCGATCATTGTAACATCCCCGGTATCCACGAATCTAGAGGAGGCTGCCCATCCTCAGTCACAGTCCTGGGAGTCCTTGTGGATGTATGAAACTGGAGATGGTATCACATCCCTTATAGCATATAGACTGTTCTTTTTCCTATAAATATATACCTATAACAAAGTTTAATTTATGAATTAGGCACAGTAAGAAATTAACAATAACTAGTATAAAATAGAACAATTATAATAATATACTGTAATAAAAGTTATGTTCTCTTCTTTCTCTGTCTCTGTCTCTGTATCTCTCTCATTGTCCTGTCAATGTTTTTGTTTTGTTTTGTTTTTTCTTTGTTTTTTGAAACAAGGTCTTGCTTTTAGTCCAAGCTGGGCTTGAACACACTATGTAGCCTAGACTGGCCTCAAACCCAGGGTGATTCTCTTGCCTCAGCCTCCCAAGTCCTGGAATTACAGGCTTGTGCCACCAAGTCTGGCATCTTGTTGATTTTAGCAATCTCAGCATATGATGTTTTTTCCTTTTTTAGGTAGATAACTAACCATTCAAGTAAAGGAATCATTTCATGGCTTCTTTTTGGCATATCTGAATTGCCATCACTAATAGTCTTATGCTTTGGTGTCACACCACATAAAATGAGGATCACTTAAATATAGCATTGCAATATCACGACAACTGATCTGATATCCTTGTGGCTACTCAGTGAATAAGGAGAGGGTAGCATATACATTGTAGATACTCTGTAAGGGGGATGATTTACATTCCAAATGGGCCAGAGCAAGAAACCACAAGATTTCATTATGCTACTCAGAAAAACTTATGAATTGTTCATTTATGGAATTTTCCATTTAATATTTCCAGACCATAGTTGGCCATGGGCCCCTGAAACTCCAGAAAATGAAACTGCATACCAAGGACAATTGCAATATAAAACCACATTTGGGACAGAAAACAGAAAAATGATTCTGAAAGCCAGAAAAAGCTTTGATGTCCCCACTGGTGCACCCTTCTAAGAAACAAATAACAGGGCACCTTAGCATAAGTGGAGAGAGCCACTTATGCTAAGTGTCTCAGGAGGGTCTCAGGAGGGCTGAAGCCTAGAGAAGGATTCACTGCACAACTCCATTCTCAGTCGCAGGAAATTCATGAGGTGATAATTCATCCCTTCACTCAGCCTCAGCTTTAAGCTCTGGACTTTTAGCAAGTATAGCTCAGTTTTCCATAGCTAGGAAATGAAACTGTCAGGTGCTTATAGGCTGATGGATGAAGAACATCCCTCTATACTTAGGAAAGTCATCCCCAGGGAGCCTGGAAGGTAAGAGGGATGGGGTGGGGGAGAAGGGAAGGGGCTTAGAATATGCTACACCAAAACAAGGTGTGCTAGTTGCAGAGAAAGCAGCAGGAGCAGGAAGGTCTCCCTGACATCTTGCTTTCTCTCCAGAAGCAAGACAAGAATTTATGGACCTCACTCTGAAACACATCCTAAGACTCTCCCATTTCAGGTGCCCTTCCTATACCCCAAGGAACAGCGTCCCTTCTGAAGACACAGAGACACAGAGAGAAATCCAAATGACAGGGCGTGGCTTGGTCTCCCAGGTCATTACCATTGGATCACACTTCCTTAGTCTACTGCTGTTTGTGTTTCCATGTGCCTCTGGGTCCTCATTTCTGGAGGCGCCTGTGTCGTGTAAGACTTAACAATAAATAAACTTGCATGTTTTTCTCTTGACTTTTATTATAAGCGCTGACTCAGCTATAAACTTTTCAATGGGTGAGGAGCAGATACTATATTTCGTCCCTGCAGGAGGGAGGGAGGGAGGAGACTCCAGCAGAACTCAGCCCCACTGAATCAGTTCTGACTTTGAGCAGTGTCCCCGACCTGGGAGATCCATTTACACCTGTCCTCTTTAGCCCAGCACAATCCTTTCCTAGGCCTTGAAGTACTTTGGATGCCGAATGTCCCCCACAGGACACACGTTAAAGGCCTGGTCTCCAGCCTATGGCACTATTGGGAAGAAGCAGAACCTTTAAGAGATGGAATCTGGTGGGTGGTCATAGGTCTTCACAGGGGATTATGGGGCCTCAGACCTTTCCTCTTTTTCTCCTTTGCTTCCCAGCCATGAGGTGAGCAGAGCTGCACTGACATGCTTCTATCATGATGTGCTGCCATGGGCCGAAAGCAGCTGATCGCAGACTAAAACCTCCAAAGCTATGATCCCAAGAAACCTCTCTTTGCAAGTGATTATGTTCAGTATCTGTAACAGTAACAGGAAGCTGACCCACCCAGAGCACACATGCAAGGGGGAGTTAGTCCTGCCTTCAAAGGTGCAGCCCCAGGGATCAGTCCCTTCCACACAGAGCCCCATACCCATCCTTCAGTGGTGCTGCCCTCACATCAGGACACTCTAGCCATCCACCTGCAGCCAGTGGCACATTTTCAGCACCTCTACCCAGAGCATCAAGGCCAAGCTTGGAAGTGTGAAAGCTGTCAGATCAAAATGGAGTTGCTTGTGTCACAAGCCTCAATCAAAAATAAATAAAGCCCCAAGGTGATGGACAACCACAATTATTACAGAAGTCTGTATAAACTAGACCCACACAAAGTGCTTCTTCAAGGACATCTATCCTACTATGTGCTGTCCATCCCTAGATGGTGCCATCCTTGGTATGGGTCCTTGCAGCCAAGGACTGTGATTGCAAAACAATTTGTGTAACTCTTTTTTTTTCCTATAAAAAGTCCTTCATTTCAGCTTCCTTGGCCACGCATATAGTTTAGTATGGCACATGTGTTTCCATTGCAGTATCCCTTCCCAAGTGAGCTCTGCACTCTTCCCAGAGTGTCTCTGGTGGTCACAGGTTGACAAGAGGGTCTCCCTTCCAAAGCTGGGGACACCAGCCCAGCCCAGTGAAGACACACAAGATATCCAGCCAGCAGGGATAAGAGGGACAGCGGCCCTGCCATTGCATAAGGGCATCAATTTGAATACTGGACTATGATTGACTCTCAAGCAGCCCAGAAGGCAGTGAAAGGACGTCATGCTCTGCAAAGAGTACAAGTAGCTGCTCTGTGAAGAATGAGGTCCTACAGATGCCCATGAGGCCCCATGAGGCCAGCCTGGGGAGTCCTCCTAAAGGCTAGGGAGGAACACAGTTGGAGCTGAAGATCGGCCCTGAGATGGCTGAGCCACGCAGCCCACACAGCCAGCTCGCCAGACTTTAATTTCCTCTCCACGCACAGAGAGCCTGCAGACCAGGAGCTCTGACATCTCAGATCAAGACAGGAAAAAGTCCCCAGGGCCTTTCACAGAATGACTCAACCTAGGATGGGAGGGAGAAAGTGAGGGGGAGGCAGGCGTGTCTCTCTCTCCATTAGGGTTACACTCCAGAGAAAAGAATTAAATAGACCCACATTTACACCCACAGGCAAATATTAAGGATCCTTTGGTGATATTTTATGAACAGACCACATTATTATCATTCATTATGGTCTGGTTTTGGTAATCACAATGAATGGGATATACACAAATATGTGAATGTCTGATTCTATAAATAATATATTGTAATATAGACATTCTAAGTATATATCTAAGTATAATATACAATAACAAACCTATACAATAACCATGTTATAGATGACAGTAGAGTATAATTCTACACTAACATATATTCTAACTCAGGCCATTGAACTAAAATGCAAATAAAACTAATATGCTAAAAGTTTTTTCATTGCCCTTACATATTTAAAACATCTACCAAAATTGTGCATTACTTAGTAGTCATTCAAGAATTATTCAAATCTTAAATAATTACACGTGGTGTGATGGAAAGCCCTTCCAATACTGACCGCACCCACAGGGCACATGGTCCCCAACACCCTCAGAAAGGCATCTGAGGCCATGTGGGAAAGACAGACCTGCTTCCATTCACCTCCAGTGCAGGGTGCACAGGAGGTCAGGGGAGCCCTCCACCCGTGGAATGCCTGCAGAGGGCTCTTCCTTCCGTCTTCAGAGGAGAGTCTGGGAGGGCCAGCAAGGGTGGCTTTCCAGGCAGCTGCCCCTGTGTCATCCACTGGCTGCTCATCTTCAACAGTCAGGCTCTGGATCAGTAGCTGACAGGCCTCCAAGTCAGCTTCCCACACTCTTCCAAGCAGCGGACACTTGCAGCTAAGACAGAAGACACAGAGGCATCAAAAATTAACCGAGTGATGTCTGCTCTTACCAAGTCACTGGCTTGTCCACCTGGATAAAAGTCAACTGGTTGTCTTACACTCACAACACAATTTCACATGGTGATAGAGTATTCCAGGCAGAGGACTCAGAAGACCTGACTCTAATCCCTCAAGTCTCTGAGAAGTGACAGTCCTTCCCAACTGCTGGATCTGCAAAGCCATCCTGAGTCCTCTGTGTCTATCTCCCTGGCCGAGCACTTCCACAAGCGTTCTACACCTAGACTATCACTTGCTAACTACATATACCCTGTCAACCTGCCCCAACATGCTACATATACTGTCCCCTCACCACCGAACAACAAATACATACCTTATTATCCACCATCCCATTAGCACACACAGACTGTCACTCACCACACACACAACACACAACCACAACACACATACTTGATCTTAAGAAACCCTTCCTGGGGAAACTCCCTGTCCTCAACCAGTTATGATGGTGTTCTCTCACCACTTTGTACTTTTCTCCTTCAAAGAACAGACCACATTTACATCATTTATATGATTTTTTTTCTCTCTCCCTGGGGACAGAGATTATATCAATCATGTTCATTGTACTGCTGGGACCTCCTGACACGGATTATGAGCTCAGGGTCCCGGGATGCTCAATACAAGATGTGGATCAGGGGACAGACCAGGGTGACTCAGGTCATAACAATTGCTGCTCAGACTAGTGGTGGAGGACAGAAGAGGTGACTGACCAGGACAGTGGACACCTGTCTCTCTCAGGGGGAAAAGTACACCTCTCCAGGGACATTTCATTATCTCAGGGCCAATACAAATGCGAGGAATAAGGACTCATTGTCAACAAAATTTCTACCATTCATAGGAAGCCAAAACTCTTGGTATTTAAATAAAAGTCTACATTCTTCACATATCCATGCACAGTCATGCCAGATATTTTCTACACAGCTACCTTTCATTTAGTAAGTCTTCCTTCTCCTGTGTGTAATCTGCTGTTTAATTAATCCATCTATTGTGTTCTAAATTTTAGTTTCCTTTCATTTTGATTTTCTATTTGGTTTTCTCATATATATTCCAGTTCTCTTGTTGAATTCTCCAGTGCTTTCCCTACTTTCTTTAATATAGTAATCATCACTATTTTAAAGCCCATGTCTATCAATGAGGGTCGCAGAAGGAAAAAGAAAAAATGAGGCAGACTGAATATCAGAAATTCATCAGCTAAGAATTTTCAAGTAGTGATGAGAGACATAAAATGACACATTTAGGAAACTGGAAAAAATAATGGAATACACCCAGGACTCTCACAGTGAAACTCCTGAACACCAGTGAAAAATAGCACGAAATTCTGAAAGGCACCAAGAAAGGGAAAAAGAGACACATCAACTTCACAGGAACAAAAATACAGGTGGTAAAAATGGGGAAGCCATCCTCTGCCCAGGGTGGTGGTGCATGCCTGTAACCCCAGCACTTGGGAGGCTAAGGCATGCGGATTGCTGTTAGTGCAAGGCCAGCCTGGACTTCATAGTGAGTTCAAGGCCAGCTTAGAGTACACACTGAGACCCTGTCTCAAAAAACAAGCAACAAAATCTGATTGCTGTAAAATAAAGGTGAGCAACTTTGTAGGGTAAGACATGCTCAACGCAAGAAACAATACAGGTATTTGTGTTTGTGCATATATATGTTGTGCTTGCACACATCCATTATTCTACAAAGGTAATCACAACTCTTGAAGAAATAAAAACTTTTTTGAGACAGGGTCTCACTACATAGTTCAGGCTGTCCTTGAACTCTCAGC